TATGTCGTTGATTTTTGGTAGAGTGATGTAATATATACACGGTAACACTGTTATATCGGCTAGAGCATTTCACGAGATGGGTGACTGTATTGTGGCTTACTTTCGGAGATCAGAAAGGATAAGAAATGTATTTGACAATTATGTTTTGTCCTCATCGACGAACGTCGAGTTGGGTCCATTATCTTGCAGTATTTTTTTCTCCCTCACTCCCAAACTAGCGCACCGCATACACACTACCATAACTGCATATCCGCTCTCTGACTTGAACATTTTTAATGGTGAATTTTATAGGAGATGCTTATGTGAGATATAACGTTGTTGTAGTATGGATCTAGCCCGAGTCGTCCACGAGAGCACTGATGCATGGAGATAACATATGCTCCCTAAATTGACATACAATGACTTCTCCCCCAAGTCGTTATCTCACGAGATCTTCGCGAGATAACAGCCTGCAGTCCTCTGTTTATGGTTTGACCGTATTTGCATGTTGTTTGACAATCGATATCCACATGTTAACAAATTATTCATAACTAATGTCAACATGTTAACACATTTATGATAACAATAGTTAATTTTAACAAATGCATTGCAATAAATTTCTACATGTTGACTCATTAGTCATAATGAATCTCCACAGTTGACACATTACTCATCATCATATGCTTAGTTTGACACAACAACAATAACAAATATCAACAGGTTGACACATTATCCCTAACGACTGTCTACCTGTTAACACATTACTTGTAATAAATGTCCACATGTTGACACATTTACCGTTAATGTGTGAATCTGAGGATATTTCTTAGACTCTAACAAATGTCTCAAATTAACACATAAACTCTATCAAGCGTCTCATGTTAACACATTAGCTCTATCAAACGTCTCAAGTTAACACATTAGCTCTATCAAATGTCTCAAGTTAACACATAAGCTCTATCAAATGTCTCAAGTTGACACATTTACTTTATCAAATGTCTCAAAATAACACATTAACTTTATCAAATGTCTCAAGTTGACACATTGACTCTATCAAATGTCTTCAGTTGACACATTTACTCTATCAAACGTCTCAAATTGACACATTAACCCTATCCACCGTTTCAAGTTGATGCTTTAACCGGTATACCTATCAAATGTCTCAAGTTGACACATTAACCCTATCAAATACCCCAAAGTTGACACATTAACCCTATCAAATTCCCAAAAGTTGACACATTACTCATTATAAATGCCCACATGTTAAAACATTAGTTTATATGAGTTCACCATGATAAATATTTCATACACAGTCAAAAAATATGAAATGAAACAAAAACATCTTATATCACACTATAAAGCTTAAATTGAATATTACATTTGCACCTTCTTACATCATATATGACGATATAACAAATGTATTTTTTTCTATAATACATAAAAATGATCCAAACATTGATTTGACACAAAGATCTCGAATATCACACGTAGAAACCAGTTGACATCATCTGCACGTGCTAATTATTTGCAAAGCTTGTTTGTATCTGATAACGTCTTTACGGATTAAGGACATAGAAAGCTAAAAGACAGTTCTTGGTAAAAGCTGTGCGAGGTGACACCCGGAAGTAAACTAGCTGTAGAAGAATCAACAGACTTCGGTACACCTTTTGACACCGAAGTCATATTTATTGTCTTAGAGTTACAAATATTTGTAGCAAATGTTTGTGTTTCGTGTGTGCTATCTTATAAATGCATAAAAAATATCTTTAACCCATTTCTATGCAACTCACACAAAGTATACTTTTCATCCCAACCCACTGTATTTGAGAAAGGTGTTGGCGATCCATTATCAACATGCAAATCAATTACACAATAATTACTGATAAAACTAGGAAATAACATACCAGTCGATTTAGGATGTATTGCCTATCCTATCTATATCTGCCACTGTGATTTCCTTTTAAAGCAACGCAGAAAACAGAGAGAAAAACAGCGTATAAATAAAAGGTAAAATGTGAAAAACTGAGTTTATGATCAGCAATGACGTAACGATAGGTAGTGCTGGATATATATCTGCCCGTCTACCCTTAGCTAGCAAAACGGAACTCTAGTTCCTGGTTAGTTGTAGGGGTGTCAAACATTTTATAAGTTTGTTGTAGATATCAACTAAATACAAAGGTAAAAACGTGATACTGTTGAAATGAACTGGAAAATGAAGGTATAGATAAGCGAACTCAACGAGAAAAAATATACAAAATAGCATTATTGAATTTCACGAAAGGGAATAACGCTGGTAATTGATATTAAGATGCCAATGCTTAGAGTAACTGCATCGACACCAGTATTGGAGAAGAGGGGTAATGATCAATGCGACAACGTTATAACATTGGCATGTCTGAATTCTGTATAAACTGAATAAGCCACATGCAAGTAACATGGCAAGCGTCCGACACGATTACATATACAGTTTTTCAAAACACCCGCTTTCATGCCGGAGTTTGCGAATATCCTCGACCATCTTATTGTAATGTTTCAAAGTCGAAGTGATATAAAATTGAATTAAAGAACCTTAAGAGTGAGCCTGAGCGTTAAATTTGTCAGATTACGGTAGGCAGTTTCGGCAGCACTGGCATCTTGGTATGATTGGTGAGAAAGGAGAGCGGCTTTAATTGAATCAGTCTGATGGACGTTTCAGCATCGGCAGCTCCCTCGCATAGGCCTGCAGTTACTAATCAAATCATCCTCCCCACTCGGCATATTGATCTGATTTGGGGCCTTCATCTCTTGCTTGTCTTACTGTATAGTGTTTGAGTTACATTAACATTTTCGTCAAAATGAGTTCGAAATTTTGCATCCCTGTCTTCGCCCTGTCTGTTTAATCAGATTAGTCGCGGGGAGGTGTTTGGCACTGTCATCCACATCCCCCTGGAAGCTTTAGGAGGAGATAAATAATTTCGCTCTCATTACAGCAGAGTTTTAGAGTTGAACATGTAGATCAGGACGGACTGACAGTCGACTGAAAATGAAACTCGAAAATGTATACGTTTAAAAAATAAACTCTATGTCGACTGAAAATGAAACTCGAAAATGTGTATACGTTTAAAAAATAAACTCTATGTACAGCGTTTGTTATGTGTGAGCTAGATTAACGATCTTACATATACCGTAAGTGCTAATTTGTGACGAAATTAGCAGGGAACAACTTCTAAGGGAAAATGTATTTCTAGATAAATTAAAAGTAATGTGCGCGTTGTTTGAGTAGTTCTATTACTGTGTCCGGGGACTTGTGAATGGCGTTGCTATATTTTAGAAGGACTGTCAATGCAGATAAAATTAATGATCAAATGTACGTACGTATTTTTTTAATTTTGTCAGATGTGTGAAGGAATTGGGACATAAATGTTGTCGCACGTGCACATGACAGATATTTCATGCAGAAAACGGGGTTTTAATAGGAACACTAACTTGCGATTAGCAATATCTATAAGCACGTTTATACTATTCACAATACATCCCTCCCGTAGAAAGTTTAACATGTTTTTTGGAGTGGCGGGAATTAGCATCTGCCGCAATCTCATTACAAAACTTTTATAACCTGCTGACCTTGGTTCCCAGTTAGAGGTCTTTGGAGATTGTGTAAGTCTATTAGAATGCATTTACGCGACTTGAGTTAGAGAAAACAATACAACGTCATTACGCATGCGTGTAATTGGTGTTCAACAATATGTTGTAATTGGTTGTTTCCCCTTTTATGGTGAAATCAGCTGACAAACCCCGAAGAGCCATACGGGTGGTGCTAATTACAACCATTATTATTCATTTTCTTCTTCAAACTTCTTTTTTTTCTCTCCTTTATGGTGTCAAAATAATGTGTCGTTCGATAAATGTTTCACCAAACTGGATCATGCCGAGAGTAGGGGAGGTAGCTTGATTTCGTGGTGATGGATTATGGCCCTTTTTATTTGTAATTCCACGTTGCGATTTCATATATAGTCATTGCATTTTATGAAAATTTAAAAGAATATAAATTTCAATTAAACAAGTAACTGGAAGTTATCAATTGACCCCCAGTACGCATGGGAAATAATATAGTCCTTAATTCCAAACTCCATCATATTAATAAATGCCATGATCAGATGCTAATTCATTTCAAGTGGTAATTGATAGGTGGGCACATTCAGCAAATAGCCGTACTGCTGGTTTCATGACTGGCACAAACCTTGACATGATAAAAATATTTTTTGTACATTATTTCTCTTATTCTCTCTTTTTTCGAGACATAATTTCTTAATTATTCAGTTTTTATCACATACCTGTACATATGTGCATAAACACCAGACTATGCTTAATTAAGGCTTTCAATATTTATATTAAAAGTTATAATATTTTGATAAAATTACTTTCAATATTTATAATAATATCTCTAATATTTGAATAATTACACTATAGAACAATTATAAAGCATGCTTATTTAAATAACAAAATGCTCGTTCTACAGTTTATACCTTTATACATTTAGACTATAGACTTTGCATGCACATCGGTGTTCTATGTGTGAACAACAAGACACACAATTTACGTGTACTATATTAAAACAAGTGAGACCGTTTATGAAACAAAATTATTTTCAATCTACCAAGCATCATTGGTATGAACGTGTGAAATGAAATTCAGCATCTACTCTAAACTATAATGAATGTTCAAGGGAAGATTAGCGGATAAGTGAGTTTATAATACGGTAGGCACCATATATAATTAATAACCACAACACCTACTTTCTCGGAGGTATATCCAGAACAGACACTTACTGGGAAGTCGCATGCCTACAAAGATTTATCATATAAGGAGCATATATCTTTTGTTATTGTTGTCGGGAATCGTGCGCGTGGGTAGTCAGAAATAGCATAGTCATCACGAAAAGATTCAATATAATAATAAATATGTATGGATGTGTATTTAGTATCGTATTTAACAGAAATCTACAGATGTCAGTACATCGGATTGTGTTTTCTATCTTCCAGCAGCCATACCGAAGTGTGCGGGGTGCGGCGAACCTATCCTCGACCGCTTCATCCTGAAGGTGCTCGACAGGTCGTGGCACTCGAAATGTTTGCAATGTTCGGACTGCCACAGTCAACTAAGTGATAAATGTTTCTCCAAGGGTGAAAAAGTGTACTGTAAGGACGATTTCTTCCGGTGAGTGAGTTTGCATCGGTACTAGACCCATTACCACGACATCAGAGTGTAATTATGTTGATATCCCTGTCGTAACGGTACATATAGTTTACGAACTTAGTTACAGGCCCCCAATACAAACTGATCTACTAGTTTACAAGCACTAATGACATTAGCATACCTAACACTGATATACGTTAATTTGTGTCATATTTTTCTTATCAAACATCAGTTATTTGTGAAGCTACACAGCTGTTCGACGGCGATCAAATTTATCAAAATGGAGCATACAGGTACAGTGAAACGGAAATGCATTTTAATACCTAGGAATGGCCTTTTGACCCTTACTTTGATCAACGATAATACAGGCAATGAATATTATTTTTCACAACTATATTTAAAAACTATATTTTAGATCATTTTTGTAAGATAAGAGTAATCAACATATATAATTAAACCTTGATGTAACAGACCTACATACAGGTGTGTGTTTATCATTTAAAGGTATCACTGAAAATGAATTTCAAATCCTGTAAATGCATTGCTGGATTAACGATTATATAAGCAATGCATATAATTTTACACTTCTATTAAAAAAACACTAATTTCAGATATTTTTTGTACGACAGGTGCAATCATCAAGTATCATTATTGAATGCAACAGTCGTACCCGTAACAGCAGCAGTTGATTGTTATTAGTTTTGTGACATTCGTACATATCATGTATATACAAAGGAGCTGTTTATCGTAAACGGGTATCACGCGCTAATTACGCGTGCGTACTCATTATGTTCACATCAAAAGAAAATATGCAAATTTGCCACCTTGATTGAGACAGATCGGCATCGACCTGTTAAGTCGTTTCTAAAATATATTTAAGCGTCCTATGTACTCTACTCTTATTTTGAAGTAAGAGTCGTATGTGACGGCCGTAATTTACTATCATTCTGAAGTAAGCGCCCTATTTAGTCTACTCTTATTCTGAAGTAAGCGCCCAATTTAGTCTACTCCTATTCTAAAGTAAGCGCCCTATTTAGTCTACTCTTATTCTGAAGTAAGCGCCCTATGTAAGTCTACTCTTATTCTGAAGTAAGCGCCCTATGTAAGTCTACTCTTATTCTGAAGTAAGCGCCCTATGTAAGTCTACTCTTATTCTGAAGTAAGCGCCCTATGTAAGTCTACTCTTATTCTGAAGTAAGCGCCCTATGTAAGTCTACTCTTATTCTGAAGTAAGCGCCCTATGTAAGTCTACTCTTATTCTGAAGTAAGCGCCCTATGTAAGTCTACTCTTATTCTGAAGTAAGCGCCCTATGTAAGTCTACTCTTATTCTGAAGTAAGCGCCCTATGTAAGTCTACTCTTATTCTGAAGTAAGCGCCCTATGTAAGTCTACTCTTATTCTGAAGTAAGCGCCCTATGTAAGTCTACTCTTATTCTGAAGTAAGCGCCCTATGTAAGTCTACTCTTATTCTGAAGTAAGCGCCCTATGTAAGTCTACTCTTATTCTGAAGTAAGCGCCCTATGTAAGTCTACTCTTATTCTGAAGTAAGCGCCCTATGTAAGTCTACTCTTATTCTGAAGTAAGCGCCCTATGTAAGTCTACTCTTATTCTGAAGTAAGCGCCCTATTTAGTCTACTCTTATTCTGAAGTAAGCGCCCTATTTAGTCTACTCTTATTCTGAAGTAAGCGCCCTATGTAAGTCTAATATTATTCTGAAGTAAGCGCCCTATGTAAGTCTACTCTTATTCTGAAGTAAGCGCCCTATTAAGTCTACCCTTATTCTTAGGTAAGAGCACTTCTTAGTCTATTCTTATTATGAAGTAATCGTTCTATGTAGTCTACTCTTATTCTGAAGTAAGCGCCCTATTTAGTCTACCCTTATTCGGAAGTAAGAGTGTCTTATGCAACAATCGCTATTTACTCTTATTCTTAAACAAGAGTCCAAGGTTTTTTTCGCGTGGGTAGTCAGAAATAGCATAGTCATCACGAGTAGATGTCGTTATTTTCTCTTATCCTGAAGTAAGAGTCATTTGTAGATGTCGTTATTTTCTCTTATTTTGAAGTAAGTGTCCTAGGAAGATGTCGTTATTTTCTCTTATTTTGAAGTAAGTGTCCTATGAAGTTGTCGTTATTTTTTCTTATTTTTAATTAAGTGTCCTATGAAACTGTCGTTATTTTCTCTTATTCTGGAGCAAGTGTCCTATGTAGCTTCCGTTATTTTCTCTTATTCTGAAGTAAGAGTCCTTTCTGAAGTATGTACCCTTTGATTGCCTTTTAGTAGATATATACATGTACATAGGTGTTTTGTTCATTTATTTAGACACGGGGCATATGATGTAGTGAAGGAAGTTTAAGGGCTCTGTGGTTGACAGAGGAAGATACATGTAATTGCTATGAAAATAACACGTTCGAACAAGCTCGAATTGTGAGATTTATTGGGGCGATTATTATCTGATATTAGATCCTGACTGATATTTTGTTTACTTGGGACAAATTTCACAATTATGATATTTATTATTGACAAATGTGTCAAAATCTGTACACGATCAATCGTATTTCCAAAATGGACCTACCTGTTGAGCTACGATTTAATTAGAAAATTAACAATTTTATTATCGATAAAATATATTCAGGTTGAAAATGACATTAAGGTTATCTGTTACTTTCACATTCTAAAATGTGAGAACAATCTTACAAAAATCGTAAAAATCTTAAATCAATTAAGTGTAAATATCTGATTATTCCAAATTATCATTACAGTTACACCTTTTTAAATACCAAACAAATGTCCAAGTAATCGTTCATAAGCTACTATTGCACGTGTCTTCATTGTAGAAATATCTTGTGAAGTAGGCGTAGGTACCCACTGGTAAGGTGACATGTAACCTTCAGAACAAAAAATATGTTTTTAACCAATACAACCTACAAGTTATATGATAATGATCGCATACCAAAACAATGTACTGTTCCACCGAATTCAACTATCTTTATGAGATCCAAATACCAAATAATAGATGCTACCTTTTTGTATTCGATATGAAACGTATATATCATTTCAAATGACATGTATCACAGCAGTAAGGTAGTTGGTAATCTGCCGTTTTTTTAATGGACGTAAACCAGCCACTGTGATAAAGTAAATGCCGTGTCCTATATAATGAAACACCCAGATTTCGCAAGATAATTATTTCTTTCCATAAACTTACGAGAAGGGATGGTCATGAATTCAAATATCTCGGAAAGTTCTATTTTATTGACTGTTTTTATTTGTATTATACCACTATTGCCCTCGCTTTTTAGCTCAAAACAAAGCAGAGGTGTTGATTAAATATACTTTTTGTGAGTATTCATCAATGGGTTGATTAAAAAGTTCGGTCCCTTTGATTACGAAAAAACATTAAATATATATCAAAAAAATATATTCCGAAACGCTACAAAAACAATTTCCGAAACGCTACAAGATAGTAAAGTGCGGTTACTCGTCAAAATTATTACGTTTTTTCGGTATATTTGTTTGGACGTCATAATCACCCTTGTTTTTATGACGTCAGGATCAATATTATAGATTGATCTTCACTAATTGTTTTTGTTTTTATTTTCATTGCAGTTAAGATATCATTTTGTTAAATGAAAACATGTCATATTCCATATTGGTCAAATGTGATGAATTTAAAAAATAACATTATTTTGAAGTCAGAATTTCCTTTCTACTTCTCTTCTGATTTTAGTTGAACTTAATTTGAACATAATACAAACAGCATTTGGATATTTAAAAAAGTAATGGTGTATTTTTTAACAAAGGGTATAAAGTTAACGTTTGATGTTATGAAAACAAAACAAAATAAATATAAGGCGGGTTTTAACGGTAAACTTTGTGATAAAATATTAAACCCGAACAACTTTTAATGATGAAAATATTGATCTGAATAAAAGCAATAAGTCAAAACAAAACAAAGGATCCAAGTGTGGGTAGGAATAAGTCAGTTTGCATTTGTCACTTTTTAAAATAATGTGATATTTATTGTTCTATCACGCCATAGTTTTCGTTTCAATGTTTATGTACGTGTACCTCCCTAGCCGAGTAGCAAACACAACTCGCATACTAAATGTGCAGCACAGACAATCTTCTCGTGTACCCGTTGTAATATTTCCATAAACAAATAGAACTAGGGTAGGTAACCTTATCACAGGAGGTAATCCATCACCGCGCTCGTATCTTAAGAATTATACGCCTGTGTTAACTCGAGTTTATCAATGGACGAACTCGGGCTGACAGATGCGTAAATGCTACAAAAAACACAAGAATTCATTCTGGTCATTGCCTTTGATGAATTTCTATGGTATTAATCTCGTAGGAAATCGAGCTCATGCACGCGACCGCACGTACGTAAACAAATCGTGCTACCGAGCGGGGGCATCAATCTTGTACATAACTCGGCGTCCTCTGTCAATGGGATGCCTTTTATTGTCGACTCATTGTTTAGGAAAATTGATAAATATGGATGGAATATGGTGCACAACCTGCTAAGAAGCCGACTCTTTATTCAGCGGTTGCGCTTGAAGAGATTTCAATATTCATAACGGTGTTGGTTGTAAAGGCTGTCGATTGTCCATTGTTACAGTCGGCGAGCTCACTACCTCGCCAAATGTCGGAGTATTTCGTGATACTTGGGACGGGACAAATCACTTCAGAACAATCTATCAAAACCGTGTTGGCCTGGAATACTGCATGATGAGAATTGGGACGAAGCAAGTTAACTTAATCTGCAGTAAACGCATCATAATTGGGTCGAGTTTATTAAAATAGAATATTTCACATGTTTGAACCAATGTTTTGATTAAAAACAACGTAGATACAAACTTTGTAACAGGCAAGCTAAACTTTTACTTTTAAAATTAAATGTGATATATTCATAAGCTCATCGATGAGTTTCATGACAGCGAGACACTTGAGTAGACTGTGCGACCCTGGGTGAAGCCTAAGAGGGTCCGCCTCTCCACACAGAAGCCTCACAACGCAC